CACTTCCAGCGCTGGAAGAAGACACTGCATGCCTGACGCCTTACAAAACCAGTTGTGCTTCCTTTAAAAATAAGTCGCATTTGGGGGCCTCCCAAACTGATCAAGTCTGATGTACCAACAGTAGAAAACCTTCATTTCTTAAAACGAAATGCGCAACAATGTCAGTGCTTGACCCCACATTTCCTATAGATTGATGGAGGCCAGTGGAAAAATACTTGTTGGCCCTTTCATTTTGTATGCCTGACATTTGGATGCGCCTATGTATTTTTGTAAGATGTCTGGCTGCGCTCCCCGGTTTTTGTTACTTATAAAAAGTGGGGTCTAACCCCTCACGTCCAATTTTTACCCCGATTTTTTTCCATAACTCCGTACCTCAGAACACACGACTCATATTTAAGAAGGACATGACACGTTTTTACAAATTCGGGTTCTGTGTTCGGGGGCCATTGTCCGATGTATATACAACATACTTGGCTGCTCACAAGACAGCCTACAGGGACATGACAGTTCTCAACCATCAGTGAGCTCGCAACATAGACTGCAGCATCATTTGTGACATCACCTATAAGATACCCCAGTAGGTTTTCAACCATCAGCGAGCCTCACATCAACTGCAACATGCTCCATTTTCCAGCGGGCACAGTCCATATTGGCCACGCGGTTGGGTTTCATGCGCTGGTTTTCAATCTGGGACGTAGACCTGGCCCAGCTGCTGTCTAGAGCAGACAACTTTGTACGGTTCCGTGGCAGCAGAGTTAAAGAATTGGCAGCGCGGAAGCATGTGATCAGTGCAGTGGCCCACGTCGTCAAAACTGTAAAAGAACGACGTGGGCCAAATTGAATTACGGCGCGTTGGTCGAAGGATGTCGAAGGACAAGTGCCGCGCGTGGAAAGGCAAAATCGTTCTTGAATTGCGCGGACGTGTTTCTGCATGTCTACGCAACGGTTCTCGACGTCATACACCACGGCCAGGCATATGCCAACGCACCCCCGGAAATTAGCACGGCCTAGGGTCAAAATGCAAGGATCGTCGTCGGAGACCTTCGCGAGTGGGGGCATGCAGCCTGGCGCAACATCACGCCCAGTCGTTTCCATTGATGGCATTGGGGCGCATGATGCCATAGCACGCACAGACATGTTGCGAGCTCTCGCAAAGGCGGAGGGGGGCCAACACGTGCGTGCCCTTTGTGCATGTTTGTGCGGCAAATCTTTGCCAGCCCGTCCACATACATCTGGCACGGCCACAAGGGCCAGCTTCATGAAGTCTCTGAACCAGCGGCGGTGAACAAGAAGACCCACTCATGCCAGCCTTTTCTTCTTGGCCATGTTCGCCTTCCTCGACAACGTGTATGTGGTTGTCCCACCGCACCGAGTGCGCCCAGTGTGCGACCTCTCACAGCCATCTATACCACCACGCGCACATCCAACTCAACGTGGGCAAAGCTCGCGTGTGGAACCTCGATGAACCTCGGGGCAGGCTCCACCATACGAACTAGGGCTGATGGTCATACAACAGCCACACAGGGCGTTCCGAGCTGAGGCTTGCCAGCGGTTCGACCCACCCAACCAGGTTTTGCTCAAGTCCAAAACGCGACCACATCCCAGCTGAGCCTTCACCACCGTCCCATCGTCCCATACCATGACAACAACACCATACAACACCTACCCCACCCACCTCTTCCGCCTGCTACTCCTCAGCGCCTCCGCTTGCCATTGCCCTTACTGCCCGCTGCCGGTGCCGTCGCATTTGGACTTGTGAGGCGGCCACCAGTTTTTGCATGCGGCGGGGGGAGGAAACCAAATGAGCAGCATCCCGAGTGTGCAGGGAGGCCGGGGCACGACTCACAACCAACACCCGCCTCTTGGACCTCAACGCCGGCAACATAGACCGCCACGACGATCGCAAGATAGAGGTCATAGCCAATGGCCTGCCGCGCCGGAAAGAGGGAACCTATCCTTCGCAACCACCGTGGCAAACTAGTGATGCTGGCATTGGAAACCGGCAGTCGGTGGAGTGGAGAGGCCGCTTCCTTCATTCCCACTCTCCTCCGGGACGGCTGGCGCGTGCTGCCGTGCCCAACACCCCTGGACCTTCCATTGGGGAGATCCTCACGCTCCCGGGGCCGTCCACCCCGAGCCGCCTGCTTCTGAAGCATCCTCAACAAGCCTTTGGCCATGTGCAAAGTCTCCATTAGTTTGCGTAGCCCCCCCCCGTTAGCTGGCTGTCGTAATTTATGCCAAGAAAACTGACTTTGTGTTTTGTTGTGCCCACGTTTTGTTTGAATGCCTGGCGGCAGGGAACGTTTCAGTTTTTTCTTTGGTCAAACTTATGCTTTGCACATTTTTTGGATGATTATGTAACCTACTCCTGCCCTTGCTTTATGGAAGTGCCTTCTCTCTTCCCACGTCAGTCCCTGCGCGACCGGCCCAACTATCAGCGGAAAACATGTATACTGTATCGATCACAAAATCTGAACAAAGATGCTCGCGCGCGCATGGTCCCAGGTCCCAACGGCGAGGTGCTGCAGATGCTGCCGCGTTTTTTGCAATTTTGCGCTTTAGTGTTTGGCCACCGCGAACAACTACCCACCCCAGTTGGTCGACAAAAAACGGCGTAAAACTACCTCGCCCCGGGCTGACGGTTGAGCGTCGTATTGTAATGACCAACCGTTGGCTTTAAACATCCAAGACCTCTGGACAGAAAAATGCACGCGGCACATACAGATAGTCCACTATGTTGGAAGCACGGAATGGCCAATCCTAGGTTCAACATGCAGGTGTCAACGGGGATATATAAATATGCGACTGGACCACTGGCGAACCTTGCCAGAGCTGCAATGTTCATGCAGAGAGCTCAGGCTCAAATTCTACATCGTTGAGGTCCGGATTGGTCCTTTCTCATACTCCAACCTCCATGCAGGAAAGTTAGAACAGCAAAGTGGCAGGAACACAAAGAATTGAAACGGCGTATGGTCAGATGAAAACCTCCATGAGTGGTAGTGCCAACGGATCTCTTGCGGAACGCTGGTGCCTTGGAATTTGTTTACTCGGCGCCGTGGGCACACAAATTGGTTGCACCATTTTGCGTGGCGGTGATGAAACGTGGGGAGCCACGACATTGTGTGTCCCTACTGTATACATAAATTAGAGAAACAAAAAAACATACTGTATATATATATATATATACTGCAACGAATTTGTTGGACGATCTTAGCGGCGCAGATTGGGTGCCAGCCAGTTGCGAGGACTACGACTACTCAAACACCGCAGTGGTTGGAGGCCTTCAAGATGGGTGCGTGAGGTGAGCGGGATATTTTCCTATCACGATTCAACATTTCACCCGCTTCGTTTCATGATGAGCAAGCCAGCTGGCCCTAAGACGTGGGCCTGCTCAGCTTTCAAGTTTTGGTTCCTTTTCTCCAGCATTGGCTCAAGGTCTGCTAATGGACCTGCAACATGCAACTTAGCGATGGAAGTCCTTGAAGTCATCACCACAGGATATGCAACCCAGAGGTCTGGAGGAGTCAGTGAGCCAATAGTTTTAACTGATTGTGTGTGTTGTTTTGTTTTGCCGCCGCCAATCCTCGCAAAACAGTCATTGTTAATGGCGTGCACGGTGCAGCTTGAAGATGGTCGTGAGACTGCTGATTTTGCTGCTTTCGTTGCATGCGCTTTCCCTAGCCACTTGGCGATGCGTCTGGAACCTCGAGAACTTTGAGACCTTGTTTTCAGCAATTGTATACATAATGATATTTTTAAATGTGATCAGCCCGGTTTTTGCTGTAGGAATCATCATAGACACATGTTTTGGGCAAGAATTGCGAGTGAGGTTGCTGGCGACAAGAGGGGCAGTGATGGTCGGCGCCGACGCCACAACTCAAACTCCTTGGGTTCCCTGCGGCTGCAAGCGCTGCAGCCATCGCCGGTTTCCTTTGTGACTTGGCACTAGCGGTGCTTGTTGCCCAGCAGGTCCGGCCACTGTTTCCCACCACAGAAGAATGTGTGTATATATATATATAGAGTGGGTTGGAATGAGCTCCCGTGAATGCAAAGTCCTCCGTAAAGAGTTTCAGATCGTTTCACTGTTCTCTTGCAATGATTCATGCTTTTCTTGGTGAAACATGCTGCCGGGCCAAGGAAATCCGATGCTTGGCTTGGCGTTGAATCTCATGCCGAAGACCTCAGTGCCATAGTCCTCCACGTGTTCTTGGTTGTTTTCGTCTGTTGGATTCATTCTATTTCATGTCGTGCTTGCACTTTGTCAGCGCAAACGGTCACACAAATTAGCAGAATCTCCATGAACTGTCCACCCCTTGCCGTTGCCTATGCAAATGGAGGCATCATCTCCCGAATCCTGGGATCACCACTCAGAGAACTGCTGGCCTTGAATCCTAGGGCCCTAGAGACACATTTTGACTTAATACAAGCCACCAGACCTGGAATTGAAGCAAGAGTTTGGAGGGAACTTTGACGCTGCGTCGACGCCGCAGAATCGGTCTGACTGAGCCTGACTGTGGAATGAGCACAGCTCTGAGGAGATGATCAAGCTAGAGTACACACAGCATCCATTCACATCCAGAACCCCAACGATCAAGCACTGGCAGTGCAGCTTTCCTTGCGGCCGGGGCCCCATCGGGCCCCATCAGTGTCAGTGCCCAGAGCCACAGATGGACTAAGTCATCACTCTTTTTCGTAAGGCAACAATCATGATATACTGTATATCATGATCACTTCTCTCGTGAACATTACTATCAGCAGTTGCCCGTAAACGTGCCTGCTCAAAGGACGCTTCAAATAATGCCTAGGCATCCATCTACCAGAAGGTTGTCAAAGGATGGCATTGTCGTGATTCAAGGGGATTCAGAGGCGAGCACGGCAAATTTCTGCGGTTTCCATGGATTTGGTTGTGTGTACCATTGCCAAACAGACGTTCAGTTGCCAGGCTTCCGTGACTGGAAGGCGCCTTCAAGCAGCAGTTCTCAACTCAGATATTTTGCAAGATGTCCAGACACAAAGCTGTGTACGGAAAGGGTTTCAAGTCAAGCGAGCCTGTTTCTAAGAAAATCCTAGGAGAACTGCAGCCAGCCATTGCTGCTGCTACGGCCCCGCGTGAGTCAGAATATTCGCGCAACTCGGCGGCTGCGGCGTTTGGCTCAGCTCCCAGGCACCGTCGAAATGTTTTAAGAAAATGACTTTAAGGAACCTAATACTCGTAGCGATGGCCTCCAACCTAATAGCAATGGCCTCCAACCTAGAAGCGATGGCCTCCAACCTAATAGCAATGGCCTCCAACCTAGTAGCAATGGCCTCCAACCTAAGAGCGATGGCCTCCAAACACGAAGATCGTTGCAACATGCATCATGTCAGTAAGATGTGCTGGTATGTGCGCATGTGCGAGTATCGTATGTGTTCACGTGCACATGCAAAACGCCTACATTTTTCATTGTGCTATAACTTAATGTTCAAGATGCGTCTTTCAAACTGCCGGTCGCCGGAGGTTCTTGTAATCTCGTTGGCTCATCCACGGCCTTACACGCAGGACTGGAGAATAGCACTTGGCTATACCTCAGCCATTTGGGGCTGAGCATCGCACAGCTAGATTGCGCTGCAAACGCGGAAGAGGTGGCGAAGCAGCTTGAAAGCGAACATGCAGGCGCGAAAAACCGGTCACCTGCTCGTGCTTGAAATTCCTCGGTCACCTACCGTTTCGAAACGTGATGCGATGAGGTGAAGTGGAATTCGTGGAGGTGGACAAGAGAAACCTGTTTAAGATGGGCATCACAGATACACAATGGAGTCGTCAATGGGGCATGAGGAGAAGTGGCTTCGATAATGCATGGTCTCGTTTGGATGCTTACAGTTTTGAACCTGACCCAGTGACAGTTGCTGTCTTGGACACTGGCGTGCAGCTAGATCACGAAGACTTGCAAGGTAGGCTTTGGCAAAATCCAGGTGAGATACCAGGAAATGGCATCTTGGCAAATGGCATCTTGTGAATCTTTCGAGTTTACATGTTCGATTCTTTTTGTGCAGGGGTCTGCTTACTTTTTGTGTTTGTGTATGTCTGTGTTTGGCCTTGCTGTCACCTGTCCCAGGCATCGATGACGACGGGAATGGCTTCATTGACGATGTGCATGGCTGGGATTTTGCGGATGGAGATGCCGATCCTTCCGATGACGATGGTCATGGAACGCACTGTGCAGGCGTCATCGGTGCCGCGAAGAATGGCAGGGGCGTGGTTGGCGCCTTTGGAGGCAGTTCTTCTGTACGAATCATGGCACTCCGTTTCCTCTCCAGTGAGGGAGGCCGCACCAGCGATGCAATCCTTGCACTGAACTATGCGGTGTCCATGGGTGCCGTGATTTCCTCGAACAGCTGGGGCTAGGATCTCAGTTTCTCACTCTCTCTCTCTCTCTCTCTTTTTTTTGTGCTTTTGCATTGCTTGTCCTGAGGCGGAGCATCTCACAGCTTGGCGCTGGAGTCTGCGGTGCAGAGTGCTAAGGAAGGTGGGCACTTGTTCATTGCAGCTGCAGGGAATATGGGCAGCAGCATCCTGGCATTTTTCAGGCTTCAGATCACATCCTTTCAGATTAGACTTGCGCAAGCTTTGGCCACGGTACCAATAGTCCCCACAGAGTCATGGCAATCAGGGCCCTGCCTCCAAAGCTGAGGCAACGACTTCGTCCCGACGTTTCCTTGCAACTACGAAGCTGCTCTTTGTGTTGCTGCGACCACCTCCACAGAAGAATTGGCCGACTACAGCAACTACGGTGTGAATTCTGTGGAGATTGCTGCGCCAGGCAGGCAGCAGCAAGCATTGAAACAACCTCCTGTTGGGGAACCTAGCGCACCTAACAAGCTGAGGTCCTATCGTTTTGGGGAATGGATTTGATAGGAGCTCGTCAAGACAGTAAGAAGACATTTCCACGCTGAACCCGGTGTTGCCTGGGGGATCCGATTTTTTGTGCGTGATGCATCAAATTGCGACTAAAGTAGGGACATAAGTTAGTGACAGGCCACGCATAACAGCCATTGGACAAACATAAGAATCACAGGGTTTCTGGACGAACCTCAGAATCCACTTTGTGGGATAGGATGCAGTTGGGTGTTCAACATTTTGCAAAGAACAGCAGTCAAGAGTCAAGATTCTTCCCAATTTTTGCGATGGCCTTCTAAGCTCGCCACGCAATTTTCAAGCATTTTCTTTTTACTTGTTGTGCTTTCTCTCTTCTGTGATCCTCTTTGCGTTTGGTGCTCTGAAGGCCTTAATGCCTTAAAATTTCCCAGGCGCCAGGTGCCAGCGTTGTGGGGTAATCAACAACCTGACATACAGCGATCCGGGGTTACTCATAGACCGGGACGTTGAGGGCCAGGACATGACGGCAAGTTGCCGTGCGAAAGGGGTGTGACCTCAAGGGCACTTGGGGCAATCAATCTTGGAGCACATGGTGGCAAATGACCTACAGTGGCCATGGCACCCAATAGACCTTGGCCAGGTTCGTGGCTCACTTGCGGCTTTGTTGGAGTTGAAAGTGCTAGAGGGAGATTGTGACCCCATACCAAGAAACTCATTTTCCGAACTAGTGTGTGCATGATGGGCTGACCAAGTCGACTAGGTGAATTCCACGCACACACACACACACACACACACACACACACACACACACGCACGTCACACGCGCACACGCACACACACACACACATATATATATATACATGAATCACATGGACTTTCCTCACAGATTCACAGAGTGCCAATCCCAGATTCACACTCTGCCAGTTCCCGTGAAGGCACTGACATCATGAGTACCTACATCGGAAACAGCTATGCATCTTTAAGTGGCACCTCGATGGCGACGCCACACGTGGCTGGTGCAGCTGCTCTGGTTTGGAGCTGGATGGGGCAGCGCTTTGTCAGTGATGCGGCTGGGGACCTGCGGGCCATCATCTTGGAGTCGGCTCAGCGGCCATCTTTTCTGAATGGCTGGGTGAGCCATGGCATGTTGGATGTGAATGGCATGGTCTTAAAGGCAGAGTCAGGGTGGAAGAAAAGCACCACGATGATTGACATAGTAGCCGCATACCGAGGCTTTCTGTACGCAGGTTGACATGGAGAGTTACAGTAGAGGGATAATTTATACATATATATATAATTATATATATTTTTAAAATATGCTGACAGTCTGACATATGCTTTCAAGAGTTGACATGCTCGCCGGGATGGTCAGGCAGAGTCACGAAACTGGCTGCGCCTTCTACAGCCTCCAAATGGCTCGGTGGACGCCACAGGTACCATTGCCTCCGTTCTGTTGGATGCGCTCGGTGAGGTGAACACCAGTCTCGAGATCGGTCATGAGTTCTTGGCCGTTGGCACTTATGAAGCCCACATACTCATCAGTGGGAGTGACCACGAGGACGAGGACGAGGCGGTGGTTCCGGTCCAGCTGACGATTCTGGGATCTCCTTATTTACCAGCAGGGATCTTCCAAGGGATGTTGGACTTCGGTGTGGTGCCCTTGGGGGGCGAGGGCCGTCGAACTATTCGGCTGTGGAACTATGGCAATGGCACAGCGCGGGTGAAGCTGAACCCGCTGGCTTCTCCGTTTGCTGGCCCCTTGGTGGAGGCGGGCTTGAAACGTTGGCAAGACTTGATGACACTTTAAGGACACTAGGGGGTTGATGTCTGGCCTAGCCTCTTTAAAATCATGCGCTCACGGCCGGCAGGGTGACTTGGAGCACTGGAGTAGCTAGACTAGCATAAACTACTGGTATCAGGAGGCATGGAATTCAGATCTGGACTCCATGTGAGGCAATGCCCGGACACAGCCTGGTTGGAAGTCCGAAGCATGACTTGTTTCAGAGCTTGTTTGGTGCCAGCTGGTTGCGACAGGTGTCAGTGGAGCCTCACGAATCGATGGATTTGATCGTGACCTGCCGCCCCACCCGCACGGGGCAGTTTGCCGGGAACGCGAGCTTTGGCACCAACTCTGGGCTTCCAGCTGTCGAGGTTTGGATGAAAAGGTTTCGACTTGGGAGAGATCCTGAAAGATCCTGAAACAGAGATCCGGAAACGACGAAGAACACCACCCGAAAAGGAAGATCTCTTCCAGACCTCCCAGACAGCCAGACAGCCCTTGCGGTGTTGATTTGCCAGGCCTCATTGGCCGATGCCACGGAGAAGGGGGAGCAGTTCTCCATGGCTATGAGCTGCAAAGGTAGCGAAGCACCACATTTGGAATTGGATTCTTTCAGTTCCTCAGCAAACTAGAGGATACTTTTGGACTTCAGGGCTTAAACAGATACAGTAGGCATGTCAATGCATGTCATGATGTTGTGTTTAAAGATGTCTAGAGATATGCCTATAGTCTAGTCATATCTATATAGACTACTTGAAGTATTGTTGCCGTTCTCGAGGTCCCGTACCTCCACCCCATCTCCACTTCTCCACTTCTAACCTCGGCCTCAGGTGGTGCCGTCCTTCTGCAAGCAGATGGCCTGCCTTTCCACTTCACGCCATGCGTGCCAGCGCAATGGGAGGCTAACTTTCTGGACGCCCAGTCACCCGACACGAACGTCACAGCGCCCCTGGCAGTGGTGGAAAGCTCCAACCTAGAAGGACTGGCCGGTCTTGCTGTTGACTGCGGGAGAATTGGCCTGGTCTAGTCCATACGAAACAAAGAAGACCTATCATGAAAATCCTTGAGCTCATGTTCATCAAGTTCTTTGATGCTGTTGTGTGGCTTTCATTGTTTGTACACGCATTGTGCACATATGTATGCACCTTGTTTGGGAGGTGTAGGGATCCTAATTCGGAGAAACACTATGACACAAGCTCTTGTTGACACTGGGACAGTTGCATCTGAGAGGTAACCAAGGCTCCTTGCTAATTGTTCTTCTTGCAGGTTGCCTGCCACATCAGACGACGGTGGCTGGACATATTGTGCTGGTGAGCCGAGGTGGCTGCACCTTTCAAGAGAAGATCACCCTGATTCAGGAGTGCCTGGCAGTAAGCAACATTCACCCTGGAAGAACTTGTCCTTCCTCACGTGAAACCTTCACGGTTCAGACGCACGCAGCCTGGCCAGGACGCTGGTGGACTTGGAGGCCTCTACTATGACACAGCTCTTGGGCAAAGAGTTCATTCAGCATTTACTTACCCTTGGGCAAATATGTGATTTTTCCGGCGGGTTTGCACTTTGTCGTGCTTTCCTTCGCATTCCGAAGGGTTAGTTAGTAGATGTTAGTAGTTTCTCCATTTTGCCCTGCCCATGTCTGAGGAGGGGACCACCACCCTGCGGATGATGGGCACTGCAGACGTCAACAATGCCCCCACACTTCCCGCATTCATGGTCTCTCGCTCGCAGGGTCTTGCGCTGCGAGATCGGGTCCTGTGCCTTTGGCAGCAGGAGAGAGTCACACCTTTACAGCAAGTCAAGCACATTCAAGCACTTCGCAAGAACCTTTCCAAATGTTCTCTCGCTTGCAAGACTTGGAATCCAGAGCAGTTGATACAAGAAGAGCAGGCTTTGCTTGCCCTCGGTATGATAGTGTTGGACTCCAATGGTTCGTTTCTTCCCAATTGAGACATCCAGCAAGGTCCGGTGAAGTGCTCATGATTTCGTTGATCAGGCGAGCTTGTCGTTTTGTTGAGTGGTGTTTTGTTGAGTGGGTTTTGGGAATGAGAAGTGCATCATTGATCGATTTTGGGCCACTAGTACTCACTGTATTTCAATTTACAGTATTATTTGCATTATCGCATCACCGTGACTATTGTAGTGGCCCAATATGTTGCACCGTTGTGGGGCAGTCTTGAACAACATGCAGTGGCTTGCAGGAGTAGTTCAACACAAATTATCGTCGATTATCACGTACTGTATGCTTGTATATATTATATATATAGCGCTGAAGTTTGGTTTTGCATTAGACACTTGAAAAGGTTGGCTTTTGCATCACTGAGGCGTCCAATTGTGCTGCACACTCATCTGCCTGGTGAGGGTTCTCCGCGGGCCTATGGACAGCTAGGATGGACATGGCTGTTGCACATGCCAAAGCTGCTTCACATCATGTCATGATTGATGTATTTTTTACTTTTTTGTTTGTGTATGCGCGAAGTCAGAGAGTGTATACATGCATATCATTTATTAGGCCGCATATTGCTTATGAAATGGCAGATGCGTGACGTGCTAGTCTCATCAGCATGCTGCAGCAGGAATAGGTGATTGGTATCGTTTGGCTTAAGCATACCTTGCAGGTGCTTGGGTTGCCACCACGTACAGCATCATGATTCAATACTCAACATGCTGTAGCAGGAATGCAAAACCTTGGTGGTGGCTTGCTCCACTGGAGCACTGAAATCGACATGCTGCTACCCGGCTCAAAATTGGTTGGCATATGTTGGCATCGCTACTAGGAGCAAGAAGCTACTAGTAGCTCCTGGCATTATTACTAGGAACAAGAAGCTACTAGTAACTAGGGCACCGCTACTAGTAACAAGGACATTATTACTAGTAACTTCTAGCTAATAGCGTGGTGGGCACATTCCGAATTCGACGCGGACGAGGAGGTGCGGTTGTCAATGGTTGTCGCTTTGACGGAGTTGCATTGAGATACAGCAATGCGATAGTGATGACTAAGGACGTTCGAGGAACACAGCTTCTACTCTGTTGTGTATCCTGGAGCAGCCAATTCAACAGCTGGCCCGGTTCTCAAAGATGTTGGAACCTTGTAGTTCTTTTTTTGATCCTACCGTATACCCATCATTTGCACAGAACTAAGGGCACAATGGCAACAACTTACAACATGCAACAACTGAACTATTGATTGATTTGAGTCTATTGCTGATGTGAATGCTTTCCGCGTATTGCGCGAAGCGGGGCCTTAGAGCCACGATCCAGGTCCAGATGTAGCGCCATTGCCGCCAGCACCTGTGCCATCGTGGACTGAAAGTAGCATGCTGACAGAGGATGCGTATTTCAGAAATAAGGACCAACAGTTGAGTCGGGTCTTGGAAGCTCAGTTGAGTGGATGTCACCAAGCAAAGCTAGGTCATGGTAGATATCTCTGAACTGCGGTCAGACAGGACATTGATGATGACGCATCACCATTGGCGCTGACCTTTCCAATGCCTTTCTATGGGCAAGTTGTCCAGGACAAGAATACGCATTGTGGAGTCGCAAGACCCGAAGCTGCTTGTTGGCGGACAGATCTTGAGACTTCTAAGACACAAAAAACACTTCCCAAACATCTTGCGGAGATTTTCAAGTTTGGAGCAGCACTTTACATTAACTTTGTTCCAGTTCTTTGCGACTTTGCTGAACTGTTGGGCGCATGAACTCACAGAACAAGTGCTGATGTGTGGCAGGATGTTCAAATGTCATCGAATGGTTTGATTGCAATGGCACCGGACAGCAGCACATTCCGAAAAGGCCAGCTTGGACTCGCCTTTTGATGAGTCGTCCTGTGTCCCCGAACTGCCTCAGAAGTGGTGCAGGCAGTGACTACTGGGGACACCTGCCCTCAGAAGCACTTCCCAACGGCCTTCTGGCAGCCTATTGGAATGATCTTCGCTGCAGTGCTAGCCATGGATGCCGACTGATGACAGGTGGAGCTGTGACAGAGATGCCAGCTTGAGCGTAGAGTGGTGTCGAAGCTTTGTCACCTCTCATGTGCGCCAGGTCACCGCTTTGCTCAAAACGAAGCCGGATCCTGTGGCAATAGCAATGCGACCATCATCCAATATAAGGATACGGCACATGATGGGTTTGGTGGGCTTGCCTAGAGGTTCTTGCACAGGGACCGTTGAGTTTGTGTGCCCTCCTGGTGTCATTGACGGAGCACGTGGCAGAAGGTTCCAGACTCCAAGCATCACTCGCAGCAGGGTTGTTCTGACGGGTTGTTCGCGCGCCAGGACTTTGTTCATCGATATGACATGTCTGCGGTGGTCTCCGTGGAAGCGCGACTCTATGCCGACGGATGCATGGAGTTGCAGTACGACCGCGTACCGGGGCAGGAACATCGAAGTGCAGCGAAGATTGGCATTGAGACCAGGAGTGGGCAACTGGACTTGCAAAAGGCTCCACATGCTGAAGGGATTCGCAGCGATGCGTGTTTTTATCAGATTATTTTTTGCTGGAATTTGCTTCAATCAAGTCCGCAAAGCTTGCGTTGAAGGCAATATGGTCTAGAAGATTTAGTAGGAAGGGGCTTCAAATCCCAGTGAAGCAGCTGCACTGGTTCCCCCGCTGATGGATATTGAATATTGTTTTTTTTTTGTGTGGCAATGCCGGATGAATTGAGTTGAACGCTTGAGCAAACGGAGTTTGTGTACTGCCCTCGTGTCGCACTGCTTGCTGACAGCCTGAGACTAGAGGCACCTGGTTTCACTGTTTGAGGCGAAGTGGGTTGAATTTGGCGCCGGTGCTGCCCGTCAACCGTGATGAACGATTTGGAATCATGTTTGTGCCATTCCTTGCAGCAGACCCAAGGACCCGTGGAGACAGTGAAGGCTTTCTTGGTTTCAATGTCTCCCCAATCTGCACATCTGCGCAGACCACAGTTTCGGAAGTTCCGCCAACGCAGGAGACCAAGCACCGCTGCCGTGAAGCCTGGAGAGACCTCTGATTTTCACTTTCATGTGGAGGGCTACCGTTCCAAGCAGGCCTGGATTATGGTGAGGGCTTCGGATGGGACAGGCCACTGGAACTCCGAACGCTCTTTGGCTGCACACTGCAGGGCTGTCGGGGAGACTGGGCTTGAGTTTGGGCCGTGCGCTTGCGTGCGCCCCAAGAAGTGGACATTGTGAGGTGTGGTGCGGGTGGTCCAGCAAGTCTTCAGCTACTCTTGGAAGTTCAGTGTCTCTTGGCGCAGAGTTGGAGCAAGCAACAGCACTTTGAGCTGATTTTGAAAGCTGAGGCATGGGGTCCGTGCACCAAGTTGGTCTGCAGCAGTAGCGTGGGTGAAGAGGGTCGAACTGTATACTGTGGCGGTTCTGATGGCGGCGTCTATGACGGTGCTCCAGCCTGAAGATTTTGGACCTCCGTTTTGTGAGAGCGCAGTAACATCAAGAGTGAAACTTAAATTGAAAAGAGACACTGGGGCAGATAGGAGCTTTAAAGGCAGAGGAAGAGAGAGCGAGAGAAAGACCTGCCAGAGTTTTGCCTTCTTGTGCGAACAGTGTGCCCCTGAGTTGAACATTGCTCCGGCCCACCTACGTGCACTGACACTCCCGGGTGGAGAGACAGTTATGGTGACACTTGCCAGACCTACGCTACAAATTTGTATTGCACTGCTGAGGGTGCCGCACTTATGGTGGTGGCTCCACATTTTCGGTAGTGCAGTGTCAGTTTCATTCCGGACTTAACATGCATCCGTTCCACTGTGTGTCTGGAGTCTGAAGGGCTTTTTGGGCCTTCAATTATATATAGTCCTCCTTCATACCATGCCTGAGGTGGCTATGGTCCTGGATGGAAATGGTTCTGGGGCTCCTTCGAAGACTACCGGCGCAATGGGCACATCGCGCCTACCGCATGCTGTGCCTGCGGCGGTGGAGCGTTGGTCGACTCGCAGCCAGAATCTGTAAGAGCATGTTCTGAGCCCACGCAGGGACCAGATTTGAACGGCGATGGTGTCGACGATTGTGCTCCTGCGATAGCACCACCGGCACCAGTCACAGAGACCACAACGGAGACCAGCAGTACTGCAACTCAGACAACTGAAACGACGACGACGCAAACTGCCACATCAGCGACTCAAACATCCTCGACGTCGCAAACTGGTACAATCACGAGTGTCACCCAGACAAGCTCCACAGACACACAGACTTCAAGAACAACTTCCAGCACGTCCACAGCAACCTGGTCTTCCACTAGTGTGACGCAAACGATCACAACGACCGCCACAGTTACGGCAACACTGACATCAACACTCACAACAACTCTCACCACTCGGACAACTACAGTGACGTCAACAGCTACCTCATCGTGGACCAGGACCTCTTCATCTCAAACCAGCACTATTTCCTCAAGTGCAACTCGCACTGAAACCACAACAGGCTCTACAACAGCAACCATCACCTCAACCTCCATCTCACTCACAAGCACAACGGCCACCTTGACGAGCACTGCGAGCTTGACGTCCACAAGCATATCAGGCACGAGAAGTTCAACGATTTCAACGACAACACAATCTTCAACCTTGAGTTCAACCATCAGCAGCACTGCTTCCAGCACTACATCCTCTAGTACAACTGCTTCAAGCACCTTGACTGCAACGTCTACTCTCACGACCACGTCGACCACTGAATCAGACACTGTCACTTCTACCGGCACGACTTCTACAAGCCTTTCCTTTACAGCCACCACAACAACAAGTTCAACTACAAGTTCATCAACTGGTACAGAAACAACTCGCACTATCACCTCGTCTGGAACTCAGACTTCCACCCTGACGTCTTCAGAAACCAGCACAACAATCTCAACCTCCATCTCCTCCACGAAGACCAGCACTGTGACCAGCACCAGTGTATCTCGCACAGCCACGACGTCAGTGACTACCACTAGTAGCTCACAGTCAAGCACATCGGTCACCTCGACACAAACAACGTCCAGTCTGACTGTAACTTTGACTAGCACCACCTCATTATCAAGCAGTTCAACGACAACGATCACAGTTTCAAGCACAACCTCGATCACCACCACAACTGTGACAAAGACGACAAGCTCTACAACAAGCAGCACCTCAACTAGAAGCACGAGCATCAGCTCCACAACAACAAGCACCAAGTCAAGCACTGCGACAAGCAGCTCTTCAACGACGTCAACTTCGAGCAGCACAGTCACCTGGACAACCACAGTCACCACCACTACAAGTTTGACAAGCAGTAGCAACACCATGAGTTCTACGCACACTTCTACGAAAACCATCACGACCACAACAAGCTCTTCAGTGACAACGTCTAGGAGCAGCACTAGCACGCTTTCTTCAACTGTCACAACTACCACCAGCTCAACTTCCAGTAGCACCAGTACAAGCGTCACTTCTACAGACACAAGCACTACGTCACAGACGTCCAGCACTACGTCCAGTAGCACGTCCAGCTCCACAAGCACAAGCACGGAGTCGTCCACCAGCAAGACATCGAGCACATCCCGAAGCAGTAGCAGTTCAACAAGTGTCACAGTCACTCACACTGATACATCCACAACAACTGGCACTTCTTCAGTGACAGTTTCATCCACCACATCTTCATCGAGCACATCTTCTTCCAGCACCTCATCCTCAAGCCTTTCTTCTAGCAGCTCGTCGGTTTCCAGTACTGTCTCCTCCTCGACGAGTCTTTCAACATCATCCTCTAGCACCACATCGACATCATCCAGTTCAATCACAACTTCAAGTACGACTACCACAAGCTTTACATCCAGCTCACTGACAATGACGTCAAGCAGCAGCACCAGCAGCAGCTCCAGTTCATCCTCTCTCACCTCAACAACAACCTCTGCCTCATCATCAACATCTTCATCAACCAGCACAAGCACCAGCACCACCAGAACCAGCACAAGCAAGACCGGCACAACCAGCAGCAGCACTACCAGCACCAGCACTTCCAGCAGCAGTACTGCTTCTACAACCTCAAAGACGACAACGACTTCCACCACCACGACTAGCACCTCTAGCACTAGCACAGCTACCTCTACCAGTACAACTGTCACAACATCAACAAGCTCCACCACAACATCCACGAGCATCTCCTCTACGATCTCGACGTCTACCAGCAGCTCGTTCACATCTACATCCAAGACTTTCACTTCGTCCACGTCTGGCACAACAAGCATCACTACAACCTTATCCAGCTCCACGACGTTGTCAACGACGTCCACAAGCGTTACCACTTCAACAAGCAAAACACTGACATCGACCAAGACTTCATCAACCAGCTCGTCATTCACCAGCACGACGTCACAGACCAGCACTTTGGCTGCTGTGGAGTGTTGAAAGGCCTTGCATGTGAAGTCATATATGTTTGGCGGTAATTTGCTGTTGTTCTACTGGGTTCCACAGCGCTTCACAGCATGGGCACTTGGCCTTCAGGATGTCCATTAGAGTTGACAAGAGATGGATAGCTTGGCCCAGGTAGCTCTTCCCTGACTTCCTCCAGCAGCTCCAGCAGCAGCTCCACTTCCGGAACCACGACCTCCATGACCAGCTCGACCCACACGGCACGCAGTCTGAAGGAAGCAGTTGGACCCTAAAGTGATGTATGATGTATATATAAATATATATCGATATACATAAGTATATTGATGTATATACATAATAGTTATACGTATATACATATATGCACACACACACATATATATATATGATAATAGGTAAGAGAGTAGCAGCAAGAGATAGGGAGAGAGAGAGAGGGATATATATATACTGCATAGATATTGTATTTTCATTGTGTTCAGGCGAGACTTTTTGTCAAACTTCTGGTCTGATACCGGGTTTGGAAGAATTCTGTGCTGAGGCCACAGTCACCAGCAGTTCAACCACAAGCTCCTCAACAATTTCCGACACAACGACCATTAGCGTCACAGGGACGAGCAGCACCACAGCCACAGTGACCAGGACATCTCAGACCTTAAGCTCTACAACTTCGATTTCCAAGACCTGGACGTCTACTTCCTTCACAGAAACCACATCCACACAAACCAGGCCGGGGTGCCGAGGAAAGTTTATGAGGTTCAAACAGCTAGCAGTTAAATGCCGGCAAGCTATCGAGCTGTGTGGAACTGCTTTCAGGAATGGGCCTCCGGTGCAGATCCTGAGTGAGCCAGAAGATGTGATGACGATCGACTCGACCTTGCTTGTGCTGGGGGTCAATGACACAACGTGTCTTGGGTGCAACTTCGGGTGCTTGACTAGCAGGGTCTACCATTTTTGTTCGACGGACATCTAGGATGCCTTTCAACCTAGGCCTGGTTTGGAGGATTCTTTGCAAGACTCCATTTCCAGCACTGTGGGCGTCGACCCAAGAAGCGACTTAGTGCAGTTTGGATCTCTGTTTGGTTGAGCGGCCGTTTGGTGTCCCTGCCCGTTGTATGGGCACACAAGTTCTTCAAGGAGTGTGCAACAAGAAAAGTCAACCTTCCCTGCCCCAATAGATAGGCGAACCAACTCCCTTCCTTCGATGCAAGCAATTCATTGGGATCAAGCCGTGATCCAACTGCAAAATGGGCTGCAATACAACGAGCCGTAGCTACCTCAAACTTTGCCTGCCACTGACTCACTGACTGCCAGCTCAGGAGTTGCAATTTCAGGCCGAGACGACGGGTTGCTTTGAGTTGGAGTGGGTGCTCGGGTCGTGTCGCATTGTAGGCACCTGCACCAGGGCGGGCAATGTGATTTCCTGCATATATATGCACTTGAAGACATGTTTTCCTTTTCGTTTTGGCTATGCTTGTCAGATCTTGGTATGACGCTGGCGGCAGTGCTGGATGATGGGCTTCGCCGTCGGTTGTCCATGATGGAATTGGCTCTGGAAGTGAATTTTCAGGTCATCCTGACAGGCCTCCGAGCCAATTTGAGCAAACGGCGCTTGTGGATCAAGACGTTAGGGGTGTTTCAGTTAGTGTTTCGTGAATGTGTACAAATGAAACGCAATGCCAGGCTTGCGTGCCTATTTCAAGAATTGGGTTTCCTTGCAAATGTCTGCCAGGCGAAAGCGAGTCTTCAGAACTTGGCTCCTCTTCGGCTGCAAGTGTACTAAGTGCTGTTTCTGCTATAAAGGACAGAATGTAAGCTGGCTGCCCTGGCTCTCCAAAGACGCAACGAACAGCTCATTTCCAGAAGCGCTAGGAAGGCAGCAGAACAGAGTAGCAATGTGTTGTCGGTGTGTTTGGAGAGTGCCAGGACGACCCATCTGCTTTGGTCTCGAAGCTCTCCAACACCTTAGCTGTTGAAACTCCATTGCGTGCACGGCTCACGACGCCGAAACTGCAGCAGAAGCAGGCGAAGCGTGCGTGCAGTGTAATGTTGGATTCTGTCTTGGGGATCGGCATCACACACTGGTTTTGTGCGATTGATTTGGTTCGGAAAAATCTTTCGCACAGATCGGTGACCGTTTCGATGTTTGGCGTTGCGGGGCACTTCGTAGCACCGGTTCCAGGCTGTCATTGTGGCGGAGGAGTGGGGCACATGTGGGCCTGGCCTAACGTGTGCGCGCTCAGAGCAGCTGTTGTTGCGATATCGGGCTGTGTGGTGCGCTGACGCAGTGGCTTGACGCAGAGTGCAGGCTGGTAGGATATGCAAGCAGCAATTGAAGCTGTTTTGAATAGATCACACGACAGTAGAATAAGCATACAAAATCAAGTCTAGAGTCTAGAGCAGCCTAAGCAAGCGGGAAAGCATTGTGCAATGCATTTGCGCACATGTTCTCCAAGCCGTGCGATGTCCTAAGGAGAACATCTCTGTCCAGCTGTCCTCGGCTATGTGCTCTGGCAACGCCCCCAGGCAGAGTGACAGCATGAGACATCCAGTGCGGCACGGTGAAAGAGAAGGGGGGCAGTCCAGCTTTCCTTGGGGAGTCTCAAGTTCAGAGGTTCAAGATTCAAACCATTTTCAGTTTACAGTCCCTGGGATCATGATCTGAAGCATCCAATGCCTGCCCTGGCTGTTTCAAGAACTATGACTCCCAAAACCCCTAACCTCATCAGAAAGACTGGTACTTGTTACAGTCTTTCAGCTGCTCGTTTCACCAGGACCATGGAGCCGTGCCCAGACACCGTGACGCATCCTCCAAGCTGTGGTTGGCACCTGGGCTCGTGGTCCGAGTGCCGCTCACAGGCGCAGCGCAGTCCGGAACGTGTCGCCGGACGCGTCTCCTCCGGTTTGGGTGATTCGGAGGCGGATCGGCCTCCAAGGAAAGACTTTCGAATCGTGGCGTTTCCGAAAGATGTTCCTTTTGTGTCAGGCTCTGTGTCAGGTCTTTTTATCTTCAATGCTCATGCATGTGTGTGAGTCCATACTGTGTGAGTCCTGCATTGCATTGGTTCAACCATGTGAACTGGAAGGTCTCAGACAAGAACAGCACCGATGTGGTGGACAACATGACGACACCTTGCGACAGCAGTGGCATAGGCCATCAGCAGCGGGAGGTGAGATGTCTAGCCCAGGACCCAGCGATAGATTGTGGCAATCCGCCAGAAAGAGAAAGAGAGTGTCAATGCATCTCGAGCCAGCTGCAACTGCAAAGGGATCACCTCCAGCAGGAAACGGCACAAGTCCTGGCTGCCTCTCCTGGACCCCTCCTGATAGGACTCATTGCTGGAGGCTGCATTGCATGCACCTGCTGTGCCTTTTGCTGCTTCAGTATGGTGAAGGGAAACCAGAGCACAGTGAAAAAGCTTGACAAGAGCACGTTGCAAGACTTTGATGGCCCAGCTGCAGAGCCAAAGCGCCCAGATGCACCCCAAAGTGCTGTGACAGTATGTGTGGCTGCAGGGCGTCGGAGCCGCGATGGTGAGGAGAGGCCGGAGTCTCCGGAGGATGGCGATTCGACTGTTGCTTGCAGCGTGCAATCACCTCTTCCGTCTCCTTCACATGCTCCAAGCTACCAGTCGCGTGTCACTCCGCTGGCTTCGCCTTGTTCCATTGCATCAGTGTCATCTCAACCAATACAGCTTCCACTGCCATCACCTTCCGCCATGTCCGTCTCTTCCATCAATGCTGTTTTGCAGTCGCCGGCACATTCTATGCAAGGCTCGGGCTCACCTGACACGATGCTAGACGGCTTGGAATTCTCTCCGAGGCGTCGGTCAAATGGGCCTAGTTCCCCGAAAAAGAGGTCCGGACCTAGTGGACCCTCTCTGCCGGTGCTGTCAGAACACCAATCGATTCAAGGCGCAGTTGAAAGTGAGACAGCTCTGTTTGCGGCTCTCAGCTCTCCGAGCAACTTCTTGAGACCAGCATCCCCCAGCAAGCTGAGGGCGGCTTCCCTACCTCCAGTCGCCGAAGTGGAGAAGCAGCGTGACCCGCCTTTGCCAAGCCAAGCACAAAGCGACAGTGAAGGGCATAACTCAGTGAACACGCAGAAGCAACGGAAAAAGAAAGGTCCTCGGCCACCCACCCTGGAATTGGATCGCTATCTTGAAGATGAAGCACCTTTGCACTCGGAGCAGGAAGATGTTGAAGTGAACTATGCCACATCACCTTCGAAGTCTCCAAGCAAGCGCAATGCCAGCCATGCTTTTGCACCAGCTTGGCTGAGGGATGATGGTGAGGCATGTGGCGGTGGCACTCCTTCCCATGCCGAGAGGTGTGGAGCGGGTGGGGAGAAGCAGCGACTAGAGTCTACTAGTTACTAGAGGCTGTTGGCACATACTGCATGACAACATCAGCAGGGCTGATATTTAGCTATCGTATTTTGCCCAAGCGTGCTTTGTGCACCTGCCGCAAGACCTAACTGGAGATTTGAATGTTGTCAGAACCAGCCAAAAATTCCAAGACAGGACGGCAACATGTCAAAACAAAGAGAAATCACCATTTTCTCCGCCCCATTGGCTGCCAGGTTCGAGCTGAAGTCGATGCCTCCACAGCCACTCCTCCCACAACCGCCAACTCCCGGTGGAACGATACCGCCACCACCAATTCCGAAGAACCCGGAGCCACCATCGCAAGCTCCACAAGGCACGGCTGGGCTTGTTGGATTTGCTTGCTGTTTTGGCATTCGGCTTCCCATTCCCATCATCATGTCAAAAGAAATCGGAGTTGGATGAGGGTTTGAGCCTTCCCATTGGCCGATAGGACCTGGGTGTGGTCCATGAGGTTCCTGTCTAATTTCTATTGAACAAAACCTTGGCAGCTTCATCTTCGCAGTTTCAACAAGGCCTTCGTCGTGGCAATTCCAAAGTGGATTTCCCCAGTGTGCCACCATCGCCAAGCACCAAGAGCACACCAGTTGCACAGGTGCCCAGACTTTGCAGTTTGACTGACCGAGCGTTGCTGAAACAACCTTTCGTGGGAAAGAGCTAGTAGCTAGAAGCTACTAGTACCCTTGAATTCAGCCATGGTTTCTCGAGGAATTGTCTGAGTCGGCCTTGCCATCAGCCCCAAATCTGCCTCCACCTCCGAGGTGCGGCGCTTGCTTGGTGAAAAGATTGGGACACATCCATATGAAATGTGCGAGACTGACTTAGATTTTTTAGGTGCCTAAACAGTCCAGTCCTAGTGTCAATAGGTGCCTAAACGGATCTAAACGGTGGTCTTTTGGGGGGCCCAAACAGGGAGGGGCATGGAGCTACAGGGATTTCCGCAAACAGTTGCTTGCCAGTCTTGCGATCACTTCATTGGACCCTTCAGGTTGGCCTCTCGCGAATCTGAAGTGTTCTCAGTGTTCTCGCTCTGAAGCGTGGACGGCCATGCTCCACCCTCAATTCCGAACGCGCTGAGTGAGAATTTGTCACACGGGTAGGTGATGGTAGGTGAAAACCTTGTGTGTCGAGGAATTGGGTGGTGTGATGCAGATATGTCAAACCAACAGTGAGAGGTTGATATTCAACGTTTTTACCAGGTACGTTTAGGGCTAGGGCATTGGCATGGATGGCTGCTCTTGTGACCGATCTAGCATGGAGCAGAGCAATTTTAGTTGACCTCGCTCGTTTTGTATTCGGCTCCATTTGAGTACCATCCATGCCCACCACGGCAAAGAGAATCTCCTAAGGAGATGCTTAGTAGTTAGATCTTTAGACCGTTACGAAGCCCCTCTCAAGGAGGGTCGACGCTCTTCTTTCTTTCTGAAAGAGGGGCGACAAAGCGTCACCGGAGCATTATATCGATGCAGCGTTGATCTTGGAAGCCATCTGAGCTGTCATGTTCTGGCCGTATCTCTGCCACAACACGTCAAGTGGAGCTCTTTGGAATGGATGGAAAGATGAAATACAATCACACGATATGCTTTCCGCATCATGCATCGAAAGCCAGCACTACATGGAGGGCAATTTTCCTGCTCCCGCCCTCTGGGGTGCCTCTTTTTGCATGTCCAAGTCTTGACCATTCCACCCTACAGATGAGTATGGGTCAGCAGCCTGTGACCTTGCCTTACACAAACCTGCAGAGATTGCAAGTGCTTAGGATTGCTTAGGTGGTCAAAGCTGGACCTGTCGTGCCAAGCTCCTGCGGAGGGACAATCACACAAATGCGAGCAGAATGCATCCACCAAAAGAATCAAACTTCATGTTCTAGAAAGGCCAACATAATGTGTATCATAATGTGTATCGCACATGCATTGATATGCGCAACCATTTGTGCTTTGTAAAGAAGGGGCTGCTCATCATCCGTGATTTGGTTGGTCAATGGAGTTCCCTAGCTTGGCGGATGAAGACCTACGTGGATAGATTTTGCGAGCTCAACCGCTTTCAACTGATCCTTTTGCAGTCAGACACCCTTGACATGGTTTAAGCTTTAGTGACTTTAGTGGCAGGATGGATCATTGGACAGTTTTTGTTGACTTGCAGAGGTCTCTCCCGGTCCCTCCCTGCTCAGCCAAAGATGCTTTGGTTCCAACCGCCTGCCAGGATAGGTAAACTCCGTGGACCAAGCTTCCAGCAGTTAGGGCTGCGTCACCACAAGCAGCGTATGGCTTTGTACAGGCGCCAGCGCATCTCATCTTTTAGAAAAAGTGGGGTCTCGAGTGGTCGGCAGTGCTTGGATGAACATAGTATGGACAGCTGAAAATTTGTTCAGTAGGCTTTGGAAACTGAAGCCACTCACAGCTGAGTTGACTAGCAAGATTGGGGAAGCCAGGGGCAAAGCACAAGTTTTGCACTTCACTGGCAGAACCTCTTCACCGCAAATGACCTCTCTGGGGCCGCTGAGAATTATAAGGTGACCAACTACATGGGTCACTGTCGTGCCCACAGTGTGGGGTTTCGTGGGTGAACGACTTTGAGACAAATCCGGTTGCGTCATGTTCCGCGAATTGACTGCGGGCCGATGTTCAGACATGTCACGAATCTCGTCACGCATTTTCTCCATTCCAAGGAGTTTAGGCCGGCAATTTTGATTCAAGACTCAGCACTCAGGTGCGTGGCTATCACTTCCCGAGAGAAGGACCTGTTGGCAGGAAAAAAGCTTAGGAGGAGTTCTGACGAATGTGACGGTCTCATACGTCGGTCTGGTTGGTAGGGTAGGAGATGCACTTTCAGGACACCTGTTCAGGTTTTGTTTCTTTTCTGTTTCATCTTGATCGATCGAATGTCGTTTTCACGAACACGAT